GAAGTATATTTGTAAACATTGTTAAATACAAAATTCTGAAAAGCTAATGATATTTTTTTACATCTGTCTATAAATAATTGTAGCGAAATAAAATCCTTGCATTTATTTGGATAAAAACTTCAAAGAGCAATATTTCATATATATATATATATATGTGTGTGTGTGGTTTTAAAGCCTGTAACAATATCACAGGCATTGAAACCATTCTAGCAAAGATACACCTTAGGTGGGCTGGTCATGTAGTGAAAATGGATGAAGATAGGCCTCCAAAGTGAGTGTTGTATGGACAACTACCAAACTCCAAGCGTTCAGTTGGATGTCCACTCTTACGCAAACAATTTGAAAGACAAACTTGAAACGGCTCAACTTTGATCTGAAAACCTGGAAAGCCCAAGCATCAAACTGAATAGAGTGGCATAAGACATGTTAATGTTAAAGGGTTTTGAAGACAAAAGACTGATACACCGTGATCAGCTTTGTCAAGATATGAAGCAGAGACGCCATCAAAATCCTGCTCTAAAAAATTCATCTGTCAGTGTGGCTTTGTCGCTAGTATCACACTTAAGAAAGCACATATGAAATATATCTTTCCACTTGTTGATTTTCTCCGCAATAGACCAAGAGTGCAATTGGAAAAATTGTTCGTAAATACAAACAAACTGGGTCGGTGGCAGATGTGAAAACACCATTGCGTGCTCCTTTACGCTGTTCAACTGAAAACATTACTGCAGTGCATGAGAATGTGTCCGAAAATCCAGACACCTCTATTCGTCATCGCGCACAGGAATTGAAACTCTCCACAACAACGGTACATCGTTTCCAATTTAATTCTCGCTTGATCGATTATGTTGACCAAAAACCGTGAAGTGCGCGAAAGGCATTTCTGTTTGAATGTCCATTTTCGTAATAGGCTTCGATTACTTCAACACATTGTTTGATTGTTAATTTTTCCATGGTTGAAATTATCAAAGACTTAAGTTGTTAAATCTGAAAGAAAAAGAAAAAAAAATCATTAGCCGCTTAAACTTAATTCACATTTAAAATAGGTACAAGTTATTGGAACACCTTTTACAATTTGTCTGGGGGTGGATAAAAATAACAACTTAAAAAAAAGAGTATTATTTATATTGAATAATGCAAAAATGATTATATAATATATATAAAACAATAACAAAAATATTATGCGACCTGGGAACTTCTCATTCAATTTCTGTATGAACGTCCATTTTCGTAATAGGCTTCGATAACTTTAACATGTTGTTTGATTGTTAATCTTTCCATGGTTAAAATTGCCAAAGACTTAAGTTGTTAAATCTGAAAGAAAAAGCAAAAATCATTAGACGCTTAAAATTAATTCACATTTAAAATCGGTCTAATTATTGGAACAGCCTTATTATTATTTATTAGAAGTTAAAAATTATAATGAAATTATATTAAAATGATTTGAATGAATTAAATGAAGCCTAGTATTTTATGAATCCTGCAACCACATTTATAATAATGGTATTATAATACTTACTGTATCCCTACTTATGATATATATTATATTTCTAATATTATACTATATATAATACAATATTATAATATAATATTCTTATATCTTATATTATGTATTATATATATATATATATATATATATATATATATATATATATATATATATATATATATATATATATATATATTATACTATAATAACGTGTGGTGTAATAATTATAATACTGGCATTATAATAATTTATACCTATTTTTGCTAACACTGCATATATATGTACATACACGCAAACACACACATAAACAAACACACACACACATGAATGTACGCCTAAGTTTTATTATTTTTTACTGTCCTTCATTTTCCTCTCGTGATGACGAATTATTTTATTGGCAAGTTGATCTCTCGACAAGTTGGACGGCGCCCTACTGACCTGCGATAAATCGACCAGCCATCGATTTTGCTACACACGTACGAACGTCGATACGTCCGCAGCCTAATTAGAAAAAAAAAAAAAGGATATTTATTTTAAGCAATCATTATTTATTTTTCACCATGATTTCTGTCGGAGTCAGCATAGATTCAGTGGTGATTAGAAATCGCCTTTCGATATTTGCACGCACACATACGCATTTTTTGTAAGGTGACATCGCTGGTAGGATTTAGCAAATCAAAATTAAACCTCTCATTTCTCTTGTAAATTTAAATTGAACTCATTATATTAAGAATAGCTAAAAGAATTTAAACAAACGCAATGGTAACTTTTCACCATTGGTACTGTAGGGCACCTCATATGGTTTTTCTATATTTACTATATCCTAGTGAGTAATGGATAGCGGTTCCGATTGAGGAATCGGAGAGCCAAGTTCGAATTCCAGTCGAATCCATTACATTCACTTACGTTCTAATACTCTTAAGAAAGGTATGAATCTTCTTCTCTGGGTATATAGCAGAACAGACCGCGTTCTATAACCTTGGATCGATCTGGTCTACCGCTGAAAGAAAT